GGAAATGAAATAAACGGCACACATCACACAACTATGAAGTAGATTTGAACCCAGCAAATCTGCTGTTACACCTCCTCGTAACACTCAAGACTATCTGCCAAGTTTCCAATTGACCATGTCGTGTGTGTGTGTGTGTGTGTGTGTGTGTGTGTGTATAAGACAGAGCCTTATACATTCACTTCCAAGCTTCCACTATAATTCCCATGACAGTTGGTCTCTCCTATAGTACCAGAGAACAAAAAATACATCTTTGCTTTAAGACAGCTAAACTGAAAGGACTGGCCACATTGCACATGACATGTGAAAAATGAAATTCATGTGTTCCGTGACTGAAATTACAGGTATCACCATCGACCCGTTTGTCCAAGCCAGAAACCTGGGCGTTATCTGGCATTTTTCCCCACTCCTCTGTCCTCCCAACTCACTAACTTCCGTATCCTCATGCAAACGGTCAACAAGTCACAAGCCTTCATCTCCTCACCACCTCTCAAATACAAAGGAGTACCCCACAGCTTTTCAGGATAAATTTCAGCCTCCTGCTTGGCTTCTAAGACCCTTTGTGATCGGGCCTCTGCCCCTCTGCGCCATCATCTCCCATGACTCTGCTACAAGTGCCCTGCGAGGCAGCTGCACCTGATTTTGCCCCGTTCCTGGAGTGTCTGGTGCACAGTACCAGATCCTGCCTGAATTGCCCCCTTTCCACGCCTTCCTTCCCTGGGCTCACTCCAACTCGCTGTGAAGCTCCAGTGAGAAGCCATCTCTGATGCCCCATCCTGATTCAGAGATCTCGCCTTTTTGTTCCCACGAAACTCAGTCCAGAACCTCTGATAAAACTTGAGACTCTATGCTGCTACCACTGCTTTATTGTCTGTGAGTACAGACCTTGATTTGAAATCTCAGTGGTAAAACAGTAGATGATACCTAATGAGACTTCCATAATACCTGTATAATTAACGACAAAAAGGAAAAAGTGAGTGAATGGCTGAGAGGCTGCTCTTGCATCATGTTATCCTTGGGCCGCTCACTGCTTTCCGATGAAAAGGAGGCGTCGTTCACTTTTTCATGCAACGTCAATGATTACTCCAGGAGTCTGAGAGGCTCGGCTGAAGTCTGCGTTCAAAGAGCTCATGGCCCCAGCTGAAGCAGGGTCGCGCGTCCCCCCCCTGCTGGGGCTCCTTCCTTCTCGGCTGCGCAGACCCCACACCCCCAAGCCTGGGCTCTTCTACCTTTTCATCAGGACCAGCGGGGACACCTTTCTAGTGGTGACGAGGTCAGTAACATTTTGTGTCCATTCAAGGGCTCATAAATATGCATTTAGGATAAAATAGCAGGAGGGAGTATTCCTTAAGAGGAAATAAAAACGATACAGAGATCAAGGCAAGTGCTCCTCTAAGCGTTTTCTTGTTCGTGGAGCTGCACGCAGCCCCTCTGCCTCACCGCTGGCCACCGCCCAGCCTGGGGAAGCAGACCGGGACTTCAGTCCTCGGCACGTTGTTCTTTGACCGTCTTTCTGTTTCCCCACCTGCCACGCTCAGCGCTTGATCAAGAGGTCAGAGCTACTCCAAAGGAAGAGGTCAGGTCAGACCAGGAGGAGAGCTTTTCATGCCCGACACGGGAGACGGGACCGACACATCACAAACAGTTCTTTCTTCTTCTTTCCTGACGCTGGGATACCGTCCTGGTCCTGCTCTTTGCCTTGACCCACTGCTGCCTCTGTGGGATCCTGGCAGGGCAGCCAGCGGGTAGCTGAAACAGTGGAAACACATTCTTCCCAGCCCTGACAGGCATCGGCAAAGGAAATTTTTCAAGAACAGGTGCGGCCAGTCAGGAGCGGAGATGCTAAAATGACTGTGAGACACTGAGGGAGCTCCCATCTGTCCTTCAGATTGCAACTCAAATTCTGTTTCTCAAGTAACAGGTTAAATTGATAGTAGTTCAAGCCCCCTATTTGGTTCTCTCAGCTCACATTATTTCCTTCGGAGCATTTATCAGATATGCAAATACATTCTGTTTATTTGTTAATATTGACACCTCCCCTCCTGGAGTGGATCCTTCCTGAGAAAGGGGACCAGGACTGTGTTGTCTACCAAGTGACCATCCGAATCCTCACTGCCTAAGCTGGCCTAGCATGTTTTGGCACTTGCTAAATATTTTTCAATAAATAAATGAATCTTTCCAAATGTATCTAGTCTGCTCACCTTACATGTGAATCTACACTTTAACCTCCTAAATTTGTTTAACAAGCCTGCTTATAAAAGATGGCCTCCGAGACAGGCAAACTTCAAAGGCTGTGTGTGTGTGTGTGTGTGTGTGTGTGTGTGTGTGTGTCTCCACTGAACAAATGAATATAAGGTGTTAAGAATAAATGACATAACTAATTTATTTTAAAGCTTATTAAAATACCACAAATGAAGGTGAACTGCACTAATTTTTGTCTCATATTCCTGATTAAGTAACTGATTCATGGAATTTAGAGGAGAAATACGCATTATTTTTACATTTGTACAACACTCAATTTTCCCATTCGTTGTCATATTATATGTAACTAGAAAAGGTAGATTGTACCAGCACCACTGACTTGCCCAACGTCCCATAGTTTGAGATCTGGCAAGATTAAAACACAGTACTTGATCTTCTGACTCCTAGCTAAGAATGTTCTCAGACTTGCATGTAACATAGCACATTAATTCAGGTAAAACAGATACTGTGCTTGTGCTAAAACTTTAAATGATTTCTGCTCGTAGGCCCTTTATACACTCTGTGTTGAAAGCATCATCTAAAACATAAAAAGCAAGGTTGCTAGATATAAGAGCAATATTGAAAAGTTAGTTGTATCTCCCTATGCCAGCAACAGCTTCTGGGGAAAAAAAATATACAATTTTACTGAAAGACATTAAAGAAGATCTATATAAATGGATAAATGTTAATATTTGTGGAAAAGAAGACAATATCATAAAGATGTAATTCTCAGTATACTGAGCTACAGAGCAGATGCAATTCCAATCAAAATACCACAGGTATCTTAGAACCTACCACTCTGATTCTGAAATTTATATGTAACAGAAGGAGCCCAGAACAGCCAAGACATTCTTGAAGAGAAAGAACTGGGGAGTGTTGTGCTCCTAGATACCAATTCTCATTTTAAAGCTATATGGCACTGGGGCAGGGACAGACACACAGACTGATAGAAATGAATGTGCTCAGAAACACACCCACGCATGTAAGAAACTTGATATCTGACCCGCAGACTAGATGGGGCAAGGACGGGCTCTTCAATAAACAGGGCTGGAACGCTGACTACTTATACGGGAAACAAACAAATCACTGTTTCTAATCACACAGAAAAAATTTCTGATAGATTAAGGATTGATCCATGAAAGGCAACATTAAAATTCCCGGATTGAAAATATCTTTAACACCTCACGATATGGAAAAAGCATAAGCCATAAAGAAAAGCTTGATAACTCAACTATATTAACATATTAAATACTACATTCAATATATTAATATATTGCCCTATACTGATAATAAAAGACAAACCACAAAGACATCTGTGACACAGAAAACTGACAAAGGATTAGTATCCAGAATCTATCAAGAATCTGTATGACCAAGAAAGTTATATGGCAGTAAGTTAAATGTCGTATGCCACTTCATATCTATCATATTGGCAAACGTTAGTAAGTCAGAGGGGAGGCTGTGCACTGGTAGGACCCCTCACGCCCTACGACGGGAGAGCACTTGGCCTTGCCACAAGGAGGAAGATGGGTTCTGTGACCAGCCCCTCCAGTGGGGATCTAACTATCAACTGACCAATGTACGGATCATTTTAAAAACAAAAATGCAATATTAAGTACATGTGCTGTGTGATAAAACCAGCTTTTTAAAAACCCTAATACGTACATGATCAGGAACACTTACTCAGTTTTTAAGAATTCTTTAACGCAAATTTTAAAGGCTATTTGTATTTCGCCATCACATGGAAGCAGCATAATGTATAACCACTCCCTACTGCTGGCCATTTAGACTGTTTCAAATTTCTTGCTAGTATATATAAACAATGTGATACTCTTGTAGGTAAATCTTTGTATCCGTCTCTGATTAGTTAAGATAAATTTCTCACAGTGGTTTAAATGGTAAGCATGTCTGACGTGGGTTTTTGCCAAATTGCCCTCCAGGAAATATTAATAATTGACACAGCAGCATAAGTATATTCCCCGCCCCCCGCCACCTCCCCGACCCTAGCTAAAAACATAAACTTTGTCAGATTCAGAAGTGAATTTTTCATTTGTATTGATGTAAACAATACTGAGGCTGAACACTTTTTGCTCATTATTCACTTAGTTTCTACATTGTTTACTTGCATTGCTTAATCCTCTACTCATTTTTCTACTTAAGTGTTTACATTTTTTCATGACACATAAGAGCTTCTTAATATAATATATTCAGGATATTAATCCTGTCTCTCCCAGGTATGTTGAACTTTATCACTTACCTTTTACTTTTGTTTTTGTTGGTTTGGCTCAAATTTTTACCTCTTTATACAGTCAAAGCAATCTTTTCCTTTATGGTTCCTTCTCTGATACAGAGGTCTTAATGTCTCCATTTAAAAGATTAACTCATCTCCCCTTTGGGCCCCTACGACAAAAATCCCTCATCTAAATGAAAGCAATAGCACCTTCCTAACAGGCTCTCTGTGAACACTGAGATAACTTATATTAATGCGCTTTACAAACAGTGAAGTAACATATAAATGTTGATTATTAGCGGCTCTCAATACATGCAGTTATTAACACCATATGATGCCCGTTGGTCCACAGAGTTTATAATTTACTATATGCAGGTCACTCGAGCAGATGTACTCGGAGATGAAAAAGTCTGAAAGATCAGATGAACTGTAGGAGACAGGCATCATGACGCAGACGTGCCTTTCACATCGCTCGGCAGGTTCAGGAATACAGAACAGTCATGAGAAAGGCCCCGATGACGAGGCTCTTACCTTACTCTTCCCCCTCGTCCAGCTCGGTTTCTTTGTGCACCACCACCCTCGTGACCGACATGTCGGGGTGCTGCTCCCTGGCTTCCCTGATGGCCTGGGCCAGCGCCTGCGGCGTCAGGAGAGAGCACTGTGAGTAGAGGAAGAGACTCTTTCTCGGGATGGCTATACACGAGCACAACCATCACCTGGGATCCATCCCTCCTCCTGCCAAGACAGTTTCACTGCTTTATTTGAGGAAGCAGGAGATTTGAAATGGGCTCCTTTTTCATTTTAGAGAATGCATCTCATTTCCCCAGATTTCCCATTTCTCTAGTCTACTGCCAAATAATGATACACGTAGGAGAAACACACTGGCTCTGAATCCCACTCAGCCTGGCACGCACTGTGAGACGTGGAGAAAACAGATCTTCTCTGACCTCAGGATTCTCATCTGCAACCTGAGACTTATGCTAAGATTATAAAGATAATGTTAAGGTTCGACGTATGGATTGAAGGAATGATGTAAAGCCTCCAGGGTGGTGTCTGCCCTCCACACTCGAGTGATACTTGCAATTACCCAGTTGCCTCAAAACTCACGATGCAAGAAATCTCTTGCATTCCTATACACTAATGATGAAAAATCTGAAAGAGAAATTAAGGAAACACTCCCATTTACCACTGCAACAAAAAGAATAAAATACCTAGGAATAAACCTACCTAAGGAGACAAAAGACCCGTATGCAGAAAACTATAATGATGAAAGAAGTTAAAGATGATACAAACAGATGGAGAGATATACCATGTTCTCAGATTGGAAGAATCAACATTGTGAAAATGACTATACTACCCAAAGCAATCTACAGATTCAATGCAATCCCTATCAAACTACCACTGGCATTTTTCACAGAAAAAAAAATTTCACAATTTGTATGGAAACACAAAAGACCCCGAATAGCCAAAGCAATCTTGAGAAAGAAAAATGGAGCTGGAGGAATGAGGCTCCCAGACTTCAGACTATACTACAAAGCTACGGTAATCAAGACAGTATGGTATTGGCAGAAAAACAGAAATACAGATCAATGGAACAGGATAGAAAGCCCAGAGATAAACCCATGCACATATGGTCACCTGATTTTTGGTAAAGGAGGCAAGAATACACAACGGAGAAAGGACAACCTCTTCAATAAGTGGTGCTGGGAAAACTGGACAGCTACATGTAAAAGAATGAAATTAGAACACTCCCTAACACCATACACAAAAATAAACTCAAAATGGATTAAAGACCTAAATGTAAGGCCAGACACTACCAAACTCTTCGAGGAAAACATAGGCAGAACACTCTATGACATAAATCACAGCAAAATCCTTTTTGACCCACCTCCTAGAGAAATGGAAATAAAAACAAAAATAAACAAATGGGAGCTAATGAAACTTAAAAGCTTTTGCACAGCAAAGGAAACCATAAACAAGATGAGAAGAAAACCCTCAGAATAGGAGAAAATATTTGCAGATGAAGCAACTGACAAAGGATTTATCTCCAAAATTTACAAGCAGCTCATGCGGCTCAATATCAACAAAACAAACAACCCAATCCAAAACTGGGCAGAAGACCTAAACAGACATTTCTCCAAAGAAGATATACAGACTGCCAACAAACACATGAAAGAATGCCCAACGTCATTAATCATTCGAGAAATGCAAATCAAAACTACAATGATACAATGAGGTATCACTTCACACCAGTCAGAATGGCCATCATCAAAAAATCTACAAACAATAAATGCTGGAGAGGGTGTGGAGAAAAGGGAACCCTCTTGCACTGTTGATGGGAATGTAAACTGATACAGCCACTATGGAGAACAGTATGGAGGTTCCTTAAAAAACTAAAAATAGAACTACCATATGACCAGCAATTCCACTACTGGGCATATACCCTGAGAAAACCATAATTCAAAAAGCGTCATGTACCACAATGTTCACTGCAGCTCTATTTACAATAGCCAGGACACAGAAGCAACCTAAGTGTCCATCCACAGATGAATGGATAAAGAAGATGTGGCACATATATACAATGGAATATTACTCAGCCATGAAAAGAAATGAAATTCAGTTATTTGTAGTGAGGTGGATGGACCTAGAGTCTGTCATCCAGAGTGAAGCAAGTCAGAAAGAGAAAAACAAATACCGTATGCTAACACATATATATATGGAATCTAAACAAAAAGAAAAAAAATGGTCATGAAGAACCTAGGGGCAGGACGGGAATAAAGATTCAGACCTACTAGAGAATGGACTTGAGGACACAGGGAGGGGAAGGGTAAGCTGGGACAAAGTGAGAGAGTGGCATGGACATATATACATTACCAAATGTAAAATCGATAGCTAGTGGGAAGCAGCCGCATAGCACAGGGAGATCAGCTTGGTGCTTTGTGACCACCTAGAGGGGTGGAACAGGATGGGTGGGAGGGAGACGCAAGAGGGAAGAGATACGGGGATATATGTATAGCTGATTCACTTTGTTATAAAGCAGAGACTAACACACCACTGTAAAGCAATTATACTCCAATAAAGATGTTTTAAAAAATAAAATTAAAATAAACAAAATAAAAAAAAAAAAAACCTCACGGTGCAGGACCAGGCTCTGCTCATCTTTGCCCTCTTAGGCTCTCAGTAATTGCTTGAGGAATGTTGCAGGAAAAATATCTGTTAGCTTCTAGGACATAGAACAATTAAAACCACAAGCAACAATGACGACAAACAATCAGTAAAGCTAAAGAAAAGAGAGAGACTAATCTTTTAGATAATAAAATACAGCTCCCTATTTTACAGGTGGAAACAGTGAAGGCAAAAAGGTTAATGGGTCTTCCTCAGGACCATCCTGCCAGGGGGGCTACAGGGCAGGAGAGGGCTGCCCTTCCACTGATTCATGGGCTCTTCCCTGGATGAGGCTGTGAGAAAGCAGACAAGATTTCTCTGAGTTTGATCAGAAAGTAAACTGTATAGGAGGATTATGGCAAAGTGGAAAGATCCTGTTTCTCAGAGGGAAAGATGTTTAAAGAGGTCTCGGGGAAAAAGTAAAAGAAAACCCCACGGAACAACACTCAAAATCTAGGAAAGAACTTGAAAACAAAAAAGAAATCCTACTAGGGGAGAGACTGCTGTATCCCATAAGGAAAACACACATTTGAAAAAAGCAGCACAATTTTCCTACCGCTTTGTCACCTGCCTTTGGGGACAACTGCATTTCCAGTTTGCAATATCATTTCTGTCAGCTGGAATGTTACTGAGCAAAACCCTGAGCCGTATTCCACTAAGAAAGATAAAACTACTCCCAAAAATTATTTTTACGCCAAAAACTTTTCACTCAGAAGCTTGGAAGACACTTGAGGGTACTTAAATTTCCACTGGGGAACAAACTCTGGCAACCTACCTGTGTTAGGACAAGAGAGGATCAGACAGGGGACCAGGCTTCCATTTAAGGATCAGCACAACTGCTTGCCAAATGGGGAGAGCAGGCAGCCCAGTGGGCAGGAGCAGAGTGCGTACCTCATCTCAGAGCAGGACAGCAAGTGCTGCCGTGTACTAACTGCAGTGTGAGTGGGGAAGGAGATCAAGTACATCAGGGAGGCTCTAAGTCTGTGTTCAGAGGCAAGAGAGAGATTGGAACAATCAACACTGTCTACTCCCTGCTGGTTTCTGGAATCCAATTTGAGAAAGGACAGCTCTGATGGGAGCCAACGTGGCTACAGAACAACTTCTCAGCTACTTTGAATTTATGTTCATTACAAAGACCTGCCTACATTAAACCCGTGCATCTGTCAAAGAGGAAACATACATGATACCCAAGGGAAGGTAGCAGGCGTGAAACATGCTTTAATTTGAAAAGTAGGGAAAATGGAAAACTGCTATTATCAACTTCAAACATATTTGAAGTCAGTTTGCCCTTAGTTCCTTTCCTTCCATAACATCGGTACACGTAATTAAATACTGTAAAATGTTAATTTACTGCGGCAACAGCAAAGACTGAGAAAACTATCACATCGCACTGCCAAACTGAGAAGTTATTTTATTAGAAAGAAATACACTTTGCTGTGTTGTTTATGCCTCCCCGGTACGGAGCTGAGAGCCACGACTAGCACTGGGTGAGGAACCTGCAAAGCGAGTTTCTACAGGAGCACACCTCTTTCATCTGCCAGCACAAAAGAGATTCCTTCTTTTCCTACCCTGCTCAGACGAAGGGTTTCCTTCCACTATTAAAATTCTTTTAACGTAGGCAAGGAACTGAAAAGGTGTGAATGACATTAAAGTCACTGCATGATCAACATCAGTTTTTGGCAGGGAACTAATTTCCCTCCTTTACTTTTAAATAGTTCCATCATCTCATTTACAGGCTTTAAGGGGAAGGCAAACTCATCATGAGCTTCTGGTGACAAGCATACCAGAAGCCACAATTACATTTACTCAAAAAAGTTTATGACATCTTATAAACAAACATGAAAAAGGTAAATATCTATTCTCTTCATTTGGATATCTGACCTCAGTTTTGGGTTTTTTTGGTTTTTGTTTTTTTAAGCGTAGTTGATTTACAATGTTGTGTTAGTTTCAGGTGTACAGCAAAGTGATTCAGTTATACATATACATATATATATATATATATTCTTTTTCAGATTCTTTACCCTTATAGGTTATTACAAGATATTGACTATAGTTCCCTGTGCTATACACTAGGTCCTTGTTGTTTACCTATTTTATACATAGTGGTGTGTGCACTTGTTAATCCCAAACTCCCAATTTATCCCTCCCCCCACCCCCTCGCCCCATTTCAGTTTTAAAATGGGCTGAAGGTGTGCGTCCTCACAGCAACAGCTAGAGCTGCAGCGTCATGATTTTCTTCTAATGGGAGAGTTAGGAATTTTGTTACTTTGTGTTATTTGGGAACTTACGTTTCAGACCGTGTTTTTAATATTTGCCGTTCAGAAGCATTACTACCTAGATTTGAGTTTTCAGGAAAAACGGGACAAAAGAATACACATAAAATAAAACCTGCAAGTAACCCCTCAAGGGAAAAAGTGGCATTTGAAACCCTGAAAGGGCCTCGTTTGGTGGAGACAGAGGGCAGACGAAACAAAGGCTGGGAGAGGACCCCGATTTTCACCTTCCATCAGGCCAAAGAATATGGGTTCCTGCCCAGCACACTGTAGAAATTCAATAAATGCTGAGCGAGAGTCCCAGAGGAAAAAAGAGTAAGAATACGGTTTGCTCCAACTTAAGGTCAGAGCAACTCAAAACTGTCCCAGTGAAGAGAAGTAGAATAAATCCTCTATATGGGAAACCAGACGCTTGGTTTCCACACAGGTAATTCATTTTCTAGTGGTGAACAGACACACGTATAGTCATCTACTAGGAAGCTCTATTACTAAGTCAAAATTCAGAGTCAGGGCAACCTTTTAACCTATAATAACTCTCAAGGAATTTTTAAAAATACATTATGAGGGCTTCCCTGGTGGCACAGTGGTTGAGAGTCCGCCTGCCGACGCAGGGGACACGGGTTCGTGCCCCCGTTCGGGAAGATCCCACATGCCACAGAGCGGCTGGGCCCGTGAGCCGTGGCCACTGAGCCTGCACATCCGGAGCCTGTGCTCCGCAACGGGAGAGGCCACAGCAGTGAGAGGCCCGTG